GCAACAAGATAAAATAACATTGAGATGATGCGGTTAAAACACCCGTTGCATACACATGAGATAAAAGCGTTGAAGAAATGTGCGTCAGTGTCTCTGGGACTTGTGCATGTGTTGAATTATCAGTTGTGCATGTGTCACACCTCCCTGGTACCTCGTAATATGCAAATCGGAAAATGGCGAGAGAACAAGAATTGTCCGATGGAAAACAACGACTGGGGGAATAGAGAAAGTGAAAAAAGAAAAAAAGCATTTCTCCAGCGAAACCAGATAATGAAGTTTTTCTCTCAGCATTTTTATTCGTACTTCCGGTGTGGGATATGGCGATCGAGATTATTTCATCTGCACTAATTTCCTCGTAGAGGAAAGAGAGTTAATTACCTCCGGAGTATCCGATATTTTTTCCCTCTTCGCGCGCGATTTCGCGTTCTTTTTTTTTATTTTTCAGTACAAACGATTGGAATTAATTTTTTAAAAAATTCCCAAGGCCAGCGCTTTTTTTTTCATCTTTTATAGCGGAATTGCGAGGTCTCTGTGAGCTTTTACGTGCGATTTATTTTGCAAATTGTGGCGCTGATATGCGGTAAAGCTGCAAGTCAGTGGCAAATGCGGAAGAACAAAATTTCAACTTTTCTCTCGGTGAATATCTTTGAATCTATCGGAGATACGGAGATTTTTGGGGGAACTTTTTTGTAGGGAATTTTGTGGGCTGCGGACCAGGTCCTGATGAAAACCTCCGTATCTCCACTAGATTTGGAGATATTTACCAAAAGCCTTATGGAAGTTGAATCTAGATGAGCTCCAACTTTTGTCACTGGTTTTTTTTTTATAATTGTTAATTCTGTCACTCGATTTTTTAATGAACTTACGGCCAGTCGCCAGGGTGTAGTCCACGTTGATAATTAGGAGGGCGTGTTGATAAATAATTATTGGAGACACACCATGAGATCAGTCCTCTTAACTCTCATTATTTCAGATTTCACAATAAACTATTTGAAAATCGAATCTTTCCCGCTGAAAATTCAATCGCCGCTGTCGACTAATCTCGACCCATCGAATAATTGTTCGGAAAACATATTCATTCCACATCCATTCCGACTATTTGTTTAAATATTTATCAAAATTTATTTTAAAAAAATAGTAGAGATCAAAATATTTCAACAAAAATCACATTATTTCGAAATATTACAAGAAAAGGGGAAAAAATGTAATAAATTCGATGACAATTAATAAAATAATAATGAAAAATGACTGCCATGGGAAATATGATACCGAATGAACCCCCGGGATAAATATTAGGACTGCTAAACAAGTATTTGAGGATTTTCCTCTCTTCAGCACCGCCGAATGGGTTTTTCCTGTAGTAAAGAAAGAACTTGGCGACTGCTCTCGTTTTTCATTTAAAACTTAAATTGCCTCGTTCGTTGGTGGTCCCTAAGAGGCCTCTTCCTTCCCGAGTTGAAAGTGAAATAGAAAAATAAACGGAAGAAAAATAAGAAGAGGCGATAAAACAGCGAGGCGTTTTATCATGATTAACTGTCGTCTCGAAAATTCAGTAATTCTCACATAATTACAATTACCTGAGGCGAATGAATTAATCAGAGGGGGAGATTCGATGCCTCAAAACTGTCACCTAGACTCTTCTATTTATTCTCATTTTTTAATCATCTTGATCAGTTTATCTTGGAGAGACTCACCTCCTTGGAGCTGGGGTTCCCCCAATTCCACGTAGAAGAGGGCGTCTTTCTCGTAGGAATCCTCTTCAATGATCGTCAGCATTAACGTCTTCCTGCAATCGTAATCAAGTCATTTATCCACCGGTGAATAGAACATAAATTATATAAATTATCTCATATTTTATCGATCCAATAATCGATAGGTCCAGGAGAAAAAAAAAACCCTCAACCACTGAATTCCCATACATTCTGGAATTTTTAGAGACACCACATGCGCACCTCCATTTATCTCCGCGATATTTCAAATTCACCCGGTGATTCATTGAAATAATTTTTACTCTTCCCTTTTTTGTTTTCGATTATTTATCAAATTCTCATTGGATTTTAATCCGGAGTTATTGTCTTCTCTCGGGGTCAGTGGATTCTCCGGTTGGGGAATGGAAATGGTGGCTCTTCTTTTTGGGGCGGTTTATTCTCCGGTTAGAACCCGAGGGTTTGGTGGTACTCGGGGGGTTGGGGTGACGTTTCGACGTTTCATCTTTCCGGGAGGGAGTGCCTCCGGCACTTTATTCACTTCCACAAAGTTGAAAATGTCGGGGGCTTTGTAGCAGACGCAGTGTCTCGGATGAAAAAGTTTTTAGGGAAAGTATTCTCATTATTTGGGGAGATTCTAGGGGGATATCTTCCAGGATTTATTCGTAAGACATGAATTTTTTTTTAATATTATTTTATTCAATCGATATTGTTATTATTATTTCAGTCCAGTAAATTCTCAAGGATCAAATTTTTCTTAATTTTTTTAAGAACTTTCCCATTTTTTTCGATTTTTTAAAAACTCTCGTGATTTTATTTCCCAGAAAATTCCACAACTTGAAATCTCAATTAATTTAAATTAATTGAGATTAATTGAACTGCGATAAATCTGAGAAATGACTTCTGCCAATTAAATTTAGTCTGCAATGAATATTCATAATTGCATAATTGCAATAATTGCATAATTACGATAATTAAATATTCTTGCTTTTATAATTGAATGAAAAAATGGGAAAGGTAATAATTATTGAATTGAGCCTTAAGTTGTGGTTTTAAATTGAGAGTTGAACTTCAATGATGACAGGATTGACGGTAGACTTTACCGATTTAGCAGCGAAGCCCTCCATTTTCCATGGCTATCGGTCTAAATTAAATTTGTCCGGGCGTTGGTCCCCCAGGTGACGTGCCAGGGTTTAACTGTCTCCTGCAACGGATATCCACTGGGTTTTCTTCCATCGCTCAAATCCCATGCGGTCGAGTTTCGATAAATAAATAAAAGCCGTATGACACATTCCAAGGCTTTCAAGAATGCCAAGGGGTATTTTTTTTTTCCAGTGCTATTTTAACTGACTCAGCGAATTTATTAATCGATCCGTCGTACGCCGATTTCATAAAGCGATTGCAGTGAGATAATTAAATCATTGAAGTCATTGATTGCATTTTGAAGGATTTCATAATTTCAGAGATTTCA